CGAGAGCACTCTGTTCTTGGGCCCCCCCACTCGACAAATTCTGGCCCAGAACAAGAGGGTCCCTAGACACAAAAGTTCGTCCGTTAGACGTACATGTTTCACAAGTTCGCCTTCTGGGTTTTCCGATGCTCCCAGACGGCCCACGAGGCCCCCAAGACCGCCCCAAAAGAAGTCTCCAAGAGTGTTCCAAAATAGCCCAAGAGGGCCCCAAGACGGGCCAACAGGCGTCCAACACGGCCCAAGAGGGCCCCGAAAACGGCCCCAAAAGCGTTCCAGGAGCGCTCCGACTGGCCTCACGAGAGCTCAATATGGTCCCAGACGGTCCAAGAGCGATCAAAGACACAGAAAACGGCCTCCAGACGGCCCAAGATGCCCCCAAGAGGCCCCAAGAGGCATCCAAGATGCGCCCCAAGAGGGCCTGTAGACGCAAAAAGTTGGCCCGTTCCCTTCGCAAAACGTATATGTTTCACACATTCCCCTTTTGGGCTATCCGACGCTCCCGGACGGCCCAAGAGGCCCACAAGACCGCACAAAGACGGTCCAAGAAGCCTCCAAGAGGGCCCCAAGACAGCCCAAGAGGGCGCCAAGACGGCTCAAGAGGCGCCGAAGACGGCCCAAGAGAGCCCCGAAGACGGCCCCAAGAGCGCTCCAGGAGCGCTCCAAGTGGCTTCCCAGAGAGCTCAACATGGTCCCACACGGTCCAAGAGCGATCGAAGACACCCGAGATGGCCTCCAGCTGGCCCAAGACGCCCCCAAAGGGCCTCCAAGATGCGTCCCATGAGGGTCCCTAGACGCAAAAAAATCACCCTCTCCTTCGTAAAACGTATAGCGTTCACAAATTCGCCTCGTGGGTTTTCCGACGCTCCAAGGCGGCCCGAGAGACCCCGAAGACCGCCCCAAGACGGCCCAAGAGGCCCCCAAGACGGCCCCACGACGGCCCAAGATGGCCCCAAGATGGCCTAAGAGGTCCCCAAAACGGCTCAAGAAGGCTCCAAGACGGCACCAAGAGGGGCCCAAGAGGGCAACCAAACATTCCAGAGTCTAGCTTTCCGTCCCACGAGCCCCAGGGGGCCCCAAGAGTGCCCCAAGAGGCCGCCAGGGGCCCCCAAGAGGCCGCCAAGACGCCCCAAGGAGCTCCCAAGAGGCCCCAAGGAGGCCTCCAAAAAAAACCCAGACGCTTCCGCATTGCGAGCCGTCAAGCCAACTGCAATGCACTCCGCGCATGCAGCCTTGCTCTTCCTCGCGACATGCTCACAATCTTGCTCGGCGCTTATGTGCTGCTGCTACGCGAACTGTTTCGTGCGCGCTGCGACGTCAACGGCCTCTTCACCCGTCCCGACTCATCTGCCACATCTTTCGCGGCGATGCTTCGCTGATCACAGCTTCCGCACGCTACTCTTGCTCCTTTCGTCATCCGGTGCTCCTCCACTTGGTTGAGGGTCCAAAGGCCGACCTCCCAGAAGGACACCCCGCACCCGGGTGTACAGCACGCAAGGCGCTCGCAAAACACGCCCCAGACCACCGGCATCACGCAAACATCTAGACCCCCCACGTATCTGCCACCACCCGCGCGCGACACCGCACCCTCACACAAGACGCCGCTAGCCAGAAACTCCTGGCCTCGCAACAGTCACAGAAAGTGTCGGCGGATGTGGCGTAAGCCTGTAGAATCAGGCTTCGCCGCCGCTGGGGCCTGCAGCTGCGAAACTGTCGCCGGTTTCATGGGCTCCTGGGAGGTCCAGCGGAGTGGAACTGCGAAACTGACGGCACGTTTGGGGGGTCTTGGGAGGTCCAGGTGGGTGATGTCACGCGCACGTCAAAATGAAACCTCGACGTCCCTGGGCGCTGTGAAATGCGAAACTGTCGCCAGTTTCGTTGGCTTCTGGGTGGCCCAACGGCGTGACGTCCTACGCGGATCAGAATGAGACTGCGCCGCCCCTGCGGCCTGCGAGCAGAGATACTGCCGCCGCCTTCGTGGGCTTCTGGGGGGCCCAGCGGCGTGACGATCTCCGCGGATCAGAATGAGACCTCGCCGTCCCTGGGGGCTGGACCAGCGGAGCTGTCGCCACCTTCGTGGGCTCCTTGGGGGGGGCACAGGCATGACGTCCCACGCGAATCAGAATGAGGCCTGGCCGCCGCATATCAGGATGAGACCTCGCCGCCCCTGGGGGGTTGCGAGCAGGGAGACGGCCGCCATTTTGGGTGGCTGCTGGCGGGGCCAGCGGGGTGACGTGATACGCAGATCAGAATGAGGCCTCCCCGGCCCTGGGGGGCTGCGAAAAGCGAAACTGTCGCCACCTTCGTGGGCTGCGGCCGGGCCCAGCGGAGAGACGTGATCCGCAAATCAGAATGAGGCCTCGCCGTCCCTGGGGGCTGCGAACTGCGAGGCTGTTGCCACGTTCGTGGGCTCCTTGGAGGCCCAGCGGAGTGATGCCATACGCAGATCAGAATGAAGCCTCGCCGTCCCTGGGGGCTGCGAAATGCCAAGCTGTCGCCATGTTCATGGCCCCCTCGTCATTGCTCCTTGGTCAGATCGCGGTCGCCGTCTTGCCGATGATATGAGTCGCACAAGTGATGCCGTGAATCGGGAACAGTTGTCTGCGGCCCCACGTTCTTTGGCGAAGCGTTCAAGGATACTGCGAATCCTTCAAGGCGTAAGCTGGAGATGAGCGGTCCAAGAGCGCGTCAGGAAGGCTGTTCGTCGCCTCTCCTCTCTGGGAACCTCGCGATCGCCAGGAGTGCCTCGGGGCGTCCGGGGAGGGGACTCTTGTTTTTTTTTGTTGTGGCGTCCTGGGAGCATATTTGGAGCCTCTTGGGGGCCTCTTGGGGGCCTCTTGGGGACCTCTTAGGGGCCTCTTGGGGCCCCGTGGCGCCTCGTTTTTTTTGGGGGGGGGGGGCAAACTCAGGACGCGCGATGTCGCGCAAGGTATTCAGAAGGAATGTGCGCACGTAAGCAGAAAGAGAACGGGCTTGACCTGCGAAGCAGGTTCGTGCATGATGTGGACGCCGCACGGCCCCAAGAAGGAGGACGGGAGAAGGATGAGCGCAGAAAGTGAAGCGTGACAAGCAAGCTCGTGGCGCTGGCTACCGCAAGCGAATACACCGACGGACCACGGTCGTGCGCTGCCGACGGCGTCGGATGGACGATGGCGGGGGGTCGTCTCAGATCAAAGAGAGGCGACCGCATCCGAGGCCACTGAAGCATCTGAAGACCGCGTCGCTTGCTTGGCAAGTGCCACGGTGTGGTGGCAATCTGCTCTTGCAGTTGCTGCCTCAGTGTGATCATCTGCTCCGAGCAGTCCACCGACAGCCGCGCCTGCGCGTCCAAGGTGTTTGACGAAGAAGTTCAAGTAGAGATGGCCCTGCTCCGTACGTCCATGAACAACCTTAAGCTCCACCGGACCGAGCTGCAACCACGTAGCCTTCCTCTCGGGCGGCTCCTGGGCATTGAAATGAAGGTCCGAGCTCGCCCACTTGCCCGTGATGCTGAGCGTCTGGAAGTACAGGTCAGCGCAAGAGTCGCCTAGACGGCGAGCGTCTGCCTCGACGATGAGAAGGCTGTCCTTCACGGGAACCCCGCGAGGAACGTGGATGAGCGAGACGTTGCCCGCCTTCATCAGGTCGAACCTTTCGCCGTAGATGTTCTGCAAGTGCGGGTCGCCAGTGGCTGATGCAGAAGATGGTGTCGCCTCCACAACTGCTAGATTCGTGAGATCGACGCTTGAAGCGTCACCTCCGTGAGAACTGGATCCCCATGCAACAGCGGTGCCGTCATTCTTGCGAGCCACGCACGCATGACCGCCACACATTGCATCTGCGACGTTCGTGAGATCGACGCTTGAAGCGTCACCTCCGTAAAGACTGTTTCCCCATGCAACAGCGGTGCCGTCATTCTTGCGAGCCACGCACGCACGAGCGCCACACATTGCATCTGCTACGTTCGTGAGATCGACGCTTGAAGCGTCACCTCCGAAAGAACTGTGCCCCCATGCAACAGCGGTGCCGTCATTCTTGCGAGCCACGCACGCAGTGCCACACATTGCATCTGCTACATTCGTGAGATCGACGCTTGAAGCGTCACCTCCGTGAAGACTGAGTCCCCATGCAACAGCGGTGCCGTCATTCTTGCGAGCCACGCACGCCTGAGTGCCACACATTGCATCTGCGACGTTCGTGAGATCGACGCTTGAAGCGTCACCTCCGTAAAGACTGTTTCCCCATGCAACAGCGGTGCCGTCATTCTTGCGAGCCACGCACGCCCAACGACCACACATTGCATCTGCTACGTTCGTGAGATCGACGCTTGAAGCGTCACCTCCGCCAGAACTCACTCCCCATGCAACAGCGGTGCCGTCATTCTTGCGAGCCACGCACGCACCACCACCAACACTAGCACACATTGCATCTGCGACGTTCGTGAGATCGACACTTGAAGCGTCACCTCCCCAAGACCTCTCCCCCCATGCAACAGCGGTGCCGTCATTCTTGCGAGCCGCGCACGCCCAACGACCACACATTGCATCTGCTACGTTCGTGAGATCGACGCTTGAAGCGTCACCTCCGTGAGAACTGAGCCCCCATGCAACAGCGGTGCCGTCATTCTTGCGAGCCACGCACGCCACATCGCCACATTGCATCTGCGACGTTCGTGAGATCGACACTTGAAGCGTCACCTCCGTAAGAACTGCCTCCCCATGCAACAGCGGTGCCGTCATTCTTGCGAGCCACGCACGCACTCAAGCCACAGTTCGTCGGGCCCTGCACGTTGTAATGGATGACGCGCACGTTGGAATGGATGCGCTCGCCATGGGCAAGCGAAACCATCGACAAAATCAGTAGCGTCCGCATTGTCTTTTGGTAGGTCGCCATCCCGGCGAGCTGAAAGTGAGAGGAGAACACGCAAGAGTTCGGTATGCACGGAAGGCAAGTCAAGGTACAACCGTGGCTGCTGCTCGAGCATAGGCCTCCAAGATGTTCTGCTACGTCATCGGCCTCCTCCTCCTCCTCCTCCTCGCCCTCCCCCTCCTCGCCCTCCCCCCCCAGGTGAACGGGCAGAACGGCCGCGGCAGGGGCAGCGGGCCAAACTGGTTCCTCCTGGTTGTAATCTTGCGCGCGTGTGTCGTGGGTGCGGAGCCGGCTGGCACGGCTAACCCATGCCCTCCTCTGGAGGGCGCCCTCTACGGGATTCGGATGGGGGGAGGGCTCGGGTCCTCTAGGCACGGGTCGGCGGATCGGTTTCCTCGGAGCCCTTCCTCTCGGTCCTCTTCGGTATGGCTCGGGGGCGGGGTGCTACATAGATCTTTGTATGGACGATCAAATGATTTATGATTGGTCTGTCCTTTTGTTTTGGGCCCTTCGGGTGGCTTCTCGGTGACACGGCAAGAGCCGCTTCACTTTTTGCAAGGATTGGACGTGGGAGGGGTTCGCGGCAGCTTTTGGACACATTCTGTCTACATCTGCATCTCTGGCGGCTGGGCCAAAACACGCCTGGCTCGCGGGCGGGGCCACCTTTTGCCAGCGCGCAGAAGGGGTAGGGGGGGGACTTTTCAGAAAGAGACTGCTTCTTACAAGGCGCGGGCATTACATTTACAGCCAAGGCCCGCGCCTTCTCACAAGCAGGTGTGTTTCTGAGAAGCCTCCCTCCCTTCCGAACCCCCCTCCTGCGCGTAGCCGAACCTCGCAGGCGCACACGGCGCGCGGGGCAACATGGGCCAACAGAAGATCTTAGCAGGACCGGCGCAAGAAACAACCTGACAGGGGAGGTGCCTACTCATGGGGCCTTCCTCTGGACCAGAAATCCCACCAGCCCTTTAGGGCGTAGGTGCCGTTCGGGGAGGGGTTTACGCCTCCCCCTGCCCACTCCCCTGGACCTGGGCGAGGGGTTCCGCGGGTAATTGGAGCGCCCAACACGGCCTCGGCGAGGAAGCCAAAATCACTGGCTTTACGAAGGTTTTGGCATCATTTTGGCCTCCTCGGGGGGGAAGGCTAATTGGGGACCCCCCGTCCTCTGATCGATCTCACCCAAAAATGCTCAAAGATGCCCCCCAAGGCTCCCAAGGGTGCCCCAAGAGGGCCTCAAGAGGTGGCCAGGAGGTTCCAAGAGGCCCCCAAGAGGCTCCTAGGATGCCCCCCCAGAGGCTCCCAGGAGACCCCCAGAGGCCCCAAAAGGCCCCGCACCCAAGACGCTCCAAGAGGCCTCGGCGAGAACGCCAAACTCATTGACGTTACAAAGACTTTGGCCACATTGTGGCCTCCTGGGAGTGGGCACAAATAAGGATGACTCCCCCGGGAGCCCGGTCCGGTCGATTTTTTTGGGGGGGTCCGGCCAAATTCCCCGATTCCCCTGATTCCCCCGATTCCCCCGATTCCCCCGGGGGGGTCATCCGCTCCCGAAAATACTGGAAGGACTCCTCAGGTGGCCTCGAAATGGCCCCAGGACGCCAAACGAGCGCTCCAATACGCCCAAGGTGGCCCAAAGACGGGCTACGAGGCCTCCTAGACGGCATAAGAGGTCCCCACGAGGCCCCAAGAAGCCTCCAAGATGCGTCCCAAGAGGGTCCCTAGACGCAAAAATTCGTCCGTTAGACGTACATGTTTCACAAGTTCGCCTTCTGGGTTTTCCGATGTTCCCAGACGGCCCACGAGGCCCCCAAGACCGCCCCAAGACGGTCCAAGAAGTCTCCAAGAGTGTTCCAAAATAGCCCAAGAGGGCCCCAAGACGGGCCAACAGGCGTCCAACACGGCCCAAGAGGGCCCCGAAAACGGCCCCAAGAGCGTTCCAGGAGCGCTCCGAGTGGCCTCCAAGAGAGCTCCATATGGCCCCAGACGGTCCAAGAGCGAACCAAGACACAGAAGACGGCCTCCAGACGGCCCAAAATGCCCCCAAGAGGCATCCAAGATGCGCCCCAAGAGGGCCTGTAGACGCAAAAAGTTGGCCCGTTCCCTTCGAAGAACGTATATGTTTCACAAATTCCCCTTTTGGGCTTTCCGACGCTCCCGGACGGCCCAAGAGGCCCACAAGACCGCACAAAGACGGTCCAAGAAGCCTCCAAGAGGGCCCCAAGACAGCCCAAGAGGGCGCCAAGACGGCTCAATAGGCACCGAAGACGGCCCCAAGAGCGCTCCAGGAGCGCTCCAAGTGGCTTCCCAGAGAGCTCAACATGGTCCCACACGGTCCAAGAGCGATCGAAGACACCCGAGATGGCCTCCAGCTGGCCCACGACGCCCCCAAAGGGCCTCCAAGATGCGTCCCATGAGGGTCCCTAGACGCAAAAAATCACCCTTTCCTTCGTAAAACGTATAGTGTTCACAAATTCGCCTCGTGGGTTTTCCGACGTTCCAAGGCGGCCCAAGAGGCCCCGAAGACCGCCCCAAGACGGCCCAAGAGGCCCCCAAGACGGCCCCACGACGGCCCAAGATGGCCCCAAAATGGCCCAAAAGGTCACCAAAACAGCCCAAGAAGGCTCCAAGACGGCACCAAGAGGGGCCCAAGAGGGCAACCAAAAATTCAAAAGTCCGCCGACCCCTTGTGGGTCTCTAGGCGTGTGAGATAGTTCCCCTCCCTCTAGTCCCCCCCTGGGACCCCCAAACCGGCGATTTGACCCCCCCCTGGATGCCCCCCCCCCCCGGGCCCGGCACGAACGACTCACGGAACTTTTTCGGGCCCAAGAGGGCCCCAAGACGGGCCCAGAAGGCCCCAAGTGGCCTCCAAGACGGGCCACGAGGTCCCCGAGACGCCAATTGGGCGCTCGAAAACGCCCAAGATGGCCTCAAGTCGGGCCCCGAAGTCTCCAAGACGGCCCCGGAGGTCCCACATAAGCCTCCCAAGAGGGCCCCGAAATGCTAAAACTTGTGAGTTTCCATTATGTTTTACGGTGTTTGTTGCCTTTTCCGCCTTTTTCGGCTTCCCGACGCTCCAACACGGCCCCCGGGGCCCTCAATACCGCACCGAAGCGGTTCAAGAGGCCCCCAAAATGGCCCCAGGACGGCCCAAGATGGCCCCATGACAGCCCTAGAGGCGCCGAAGACGCCCCAAGAGGGCCCCAAGACGGGCCCAAGAGGGGGCCAAGAGGGGGGGAAAAACATATCATATCGAGGCTTCGGCGCCCAAGCGCCCCCAGGAAGCCCCAAGAGGTCCCCCAAGAGGCCCCCAAGAAGCCCCCAAGAGGCCCCAAGCAGGCCCCAAGAGGCCCCAAAGAGGCACCCAAGAAGCCCAAAATAGCTCCCAAAGGGCCTCCAAAGTATGGGCGGTACCATTTGAGGCACACGGACGACGTACCTCGCGTGGTACTTGGTCGGTACCACTTGAGGTATCCGAGAGGCCGACCACGAGATCCCAAATAATATTCCACTGGCCTCATACTCACAACCCCGGCACGGCAGCGGGATTCGCGGGACGCGCCTCGGGCCATTCGAGAAATATCCCTCTCAGAATCCACGACAAGATCCTCACTTGTCCTCGTCCTCCTCTTCCTCCTACCCCTTCTTTTCCTCCTCCTTCTCCTCCTCCTCCTTCTCCTCCCCCGTCGTTTCCGTCTCCTGCTTTGTTCCTCCCCACTGTCCACAGCGTTCGCGCGCTGCCCGACGCGCTGCAGCGCCTTCGTGGAAGTCCCCCAGAGGCCCCGAAACGGCCCCCCAGTGGCTTCAAAACTGCACTCCTCGAGCCCCCGAGAGGCGTGCCGCGAGATCCCTATACACATACTTGAAGCCTCTAACTCATAACCCATGACCCAGCACCTTGCCTCCGTGTCCCCCTCCTCCTCCTCCCTTGCCTCCTCCTTCCCCATACACATACCACAAGCCTCTACCCCACGCCCCATAACCCAGAGCCTGATCTCAGTGCCCCCCCCTCCTCTTCCTCCTCCGCCACCTCCTCGTCGTCCCCCTCCTCTTCTTGCCCCGGTTCACCTCATCCTCTTCGATGCTTCTCCCCCCCCATTTTCCGCCTCACCCCCCATCCTTCTCTCCCCGTCCTCCTTTTTCTCCCCAGCACGCGCGCCCGATTGGGCATCATGTGCATGTCTTGCACTTCAGAGTGCCCTTCTTTGCGTCGCGCGGGACATTGTGCGGGTCGGGGAACGCCGACTTCGGTAGTCTCCTCTTGCATGCGCCGGTGCACTGATACCCTTGGTAACTGCGCGCGTTGAACCCGAGTTCCTCGCAGCCTCTGCACACCACTTTGGTTCCTTTCGCCTTTCTATGATGTTCCACTTGCGTCGGCTTCAAGTGTCTCGTGTCTGAGAACGCTCCTCCGCACGCCGCGCACGTCAGTGCCTTCGCGTCCGCCTCGGCTTTCCGTTTGCGATTCGCTGCCTCCGCATTCCCCCGTCGTACCTCTTTCTCTCGTTCTTCCGCGCATTTCCGACAGAGTCTTCCGCCCGCAGCATTGTGCTTCTTCTGGGCTTCGGACATCCCCGCCCCCTCTTGGAACTCCGACAGGCAGTCGCTGTTGGAACACCGCAATGTGACCACGCGTTTTTTATTATTCGACGCAGGCGTCGCCCTCTGACGTTCTCCCGCACATTTCCGACACAATCTCTGGCCCG